GGGAGTGACTTGTCATGAAGAGAACAAGGCGCTGCGCCCTGAGCGAATACCTCCCAGGAATGAAGCCAAAGGAGCCAAATTCCTGGTTTGGGCTCCGTTTGGCCTGGAGCACGGCGGGGGAAGGGGGTGCAGTCAAACTTTGCAGACTTGAGAAAAACCCCGTTTCGCTCGCAAACCACGAGACTATCCACCCCCCCCACACACACACACACACCACACACGCACACCAAAAAAAGAAGGACAAGGAGATCCTGCAGACCGTGTGGAGCAGCTACAACACTCCGCAATCAATGCTATTGCAGTCGGTATCCCGTCGCAATATAGCGCCGGAGCGACCCCCCTCCTCCTCCTCCTCTCCTCTCTCTCCCCTCTCTCCTCACTCCCTCTCTCCTCTCCGGATTCCCAACTCGCCGAGCGCACAAGAAGGGGCCCGAGAGGTGAAAGAGAAAATCCCGCTTCGGTTTCTCAGACCCGGGGCCCCCGTCGGAGATCGGCTGAGCCCGGGATCACCCACCGGCTTCCGCGCAGTGATCGACCCCGGATCAATGGCACGGCGCTCACTGGTTGTCGCAGATCCGACTTTCCGAGGCCTGACCGTCAGAGCGCAAAACAGACCCTTATTGTGCGGGTGACTCTGTGCCCGTTTTGGTTTTCCTCCGATCGCGACACCCTCTCGTCGTTAACTGCAGGCTCAGGACAAACCGAGCGACAGGAAACTCGTATTACCTGATTTTCCATGGTCTCCGGCCTCGGCGATTGTTCTATTTATTTACAAGAGCTTTAGTGAGGCAGATCGCGGCTCCTCATTGTGTGTCAATTTCACCCCCGAAAACCGGAAGCCAGACAGGCCCCCCTCTCCTCCCAGGCGCTGGGCAGCGGTCCAAGACAGAAGGGTCTCACAGCCAATGGCATGCGGAGGAGGGCGGGGCTTTGGTGTCAAAGGGGGCCAATCGAAGAGCGGGAGGGGCTGGATTTCCCTTGGAACACCGACAGCCGTGTCAACCAATGACCGTTCGACAAAACCACATCCTTCCCACCAATCACGAACCGGCAGAGGTGGGCCTGAAGTTGCCATGGTTACTGAGGATGCGACGGAGTGTTCTCTCGGAAAGCAAACAGGAAGGGAATTTGTCCTCCGTGTAAGTAATTCCGTCGCTTCTTTAAAAAAAAAAACAGTTTGATTTAGCTAATAAAGTATAAAAATGGTGACGTACTGAACCCTCAAAC